CCAGAGGCCTCATCCAGTTTTTGATAATAATAACAGCTGACATTTATATAGCATTTAGCATGTGCCAGGAGCTATTCTATGCATTCAGCAAATATTAACTCACATGTCTCACAACTCTGAATATACCTACCTTGCAGATCGGTTTACAGAGGTTGAATGGCTTCTCCCGGATTATTCTGAGCAGCTACATCAAAAAAAAAGACAAAATTATGAAGGAGTGGGCAACACCAAGAGAAACTGCACACAAACACCATTTAAGTCAAATAGCTTTTACTTGTTTATTTCCTTCAGCAAGCCAGACAACAACATAAGCAAGCAAGAGGAGTCAGTGGTGGAGAAGCGGGAGGAATCCTGCTCCGGGATGGACTAGTGCCTCTCACTGCCTCGGCTGCCACTATTCCCAGGCAGTAGGTCATTTGGTCTCTGCTCCCTGAGGTCCTTGCTCCAATCTTCACCGCGGGTAGGAGATGGCTCATGGTCAGTATATGGGAGTCTGCAACCCCTCAGGCATTTGCAGGGATCAGCGCTCATCACAGCTTGGTGGACTGGCCCAGCATTCAGACTAGCCCTCTGGCTGTGCCTCACTGTTTATTGGTCTGTAGCTGCAACAGCCCTATTTTGATTCGCTGCACCCAAAGTTATGTAAGCCATTACATCATTACCTGTGCGTTGGTGGCTAGTTATATCATTGTTATCAATACATTCCAGAACTTTTGGAAATTTTTCTAAACTTTTTTTTAACCTTGGGGGAATATCAGGTGTTTATCTCTTTTGAGTGAGGAAGCCAATATGCTAATCCTTAATGCAGTATACATGTACAATTTTAATTACGTTTTGGGGAAAATGTTTACAATGAATGCTTTGGGTGGGAAAGCTCATTTATCATTTTTAAAGCACAGCAAATAGGTTTTTTATTTATCCCTGTTAAAATGTAGGATGTAGCATCCTTTAATCACACACAGCTAGTTAGTGACAAAGCTAGGATTCATATCCAAGCAGTCTAAATGTAGAATTCCACATTCTGAATTACTATGTTGTATTGCCTCTCTGCCTGGAACTAATACTTCTTGGTTTGGTTGACTACTCCCAAGCGTATAGACCATACATGAAGAAAATCCAAGTTATCAGAGGGCAAACTGTAGATGTCTTGTGAGCAACTTCCAGAGGACCCCTTTTTATGTAAAAGACATAAAACAACTGAAAATTTCCATTGGGGGATGTTAATAAGCTAATATATATAGGGGATCTTTAAATTACTGCAGTTTTCCTGCCTTGTAATAAGTTGCTTTGTTTTTTGAATAAAATTGCTCTGATACAATGTGGGTAGCATGATTGCAGCTGTTGGAATTGTTGCCCACCAATGGCTTTACAAGAAAAGATTCTCCTGGGTTTCTGAAAATTCTCTTAGTTTAGTAGTAATACCTTCACAGAGAAATCTCAATCTTTGGCACCATGGGCACTTCTGACATAAGGATAACATTATCTTCTTCTAAGGCCCAAGTGGGGAAATGGTCCTGCCTCAGCCAAACTATAGCTTCAGCTTGTGCTATGGATTTGGAGAAGAGGTATTGCATAGAGCACTGATGAATAAGTGGACTTAGTAGATTGTAGATGCTACCAGTGAACATAGATCTGGGGCAGCTCAATGGGAAGCATATGGAATAAACATACCAAGTTTAATTGAAATGTGGAGTCTGTGCAAGCATATGAGTGTGTAACTTACAAAGTGTGTCCCATGGGGAGAAAAACATCACAACACAGTCCAGAAGGGGAGCGTCCTTTGAGTTGGTGGCTCTTTCTTTTGTGTCAACAGTGTGGCTTAAGAGAGTGCTATGTGCTTATGTTTTGATACTACTTGGAAAGGATTTTTCCAAATACATTTTTGAAAATGAGAAGATGCTACACAACTATGATCCTTCCCAACAACTCTGGGAGATAGTCAGGGCCTGTATGGAATTTTAAATTTTCAGATGAGGAAACAATTAAACCTGATTTTTCTTTGATTGAGATTCCTGTTACATGTAAAATAGTGAATATTTATTCCGAATCACCATCTTTGTCATAGAGGAAGATGTGAGGCAAGAGCTATCAATAGCGGCTAGTAATACTTTATGTATGGCACATAAGAGAATGAAACTGACAATCAAGTCATGCTTACAAAACACCTAGATCTTTTAATTCTCATGACAATGATACAATACAATGAGAATTTTAGAATGACACAGATGAAGCCTATCTCTCCAGATTAGCCAACTAGTAATCATCGGAGATGTGATTCAAGCCCAGGTCTGCTTTACTAGAAGGTTTGTTCTTTTCATGAGGGTTTAGTGCAGCCCTCATGGAATTGTGTTTAGCTATAAAAGATCAGATAATGATATCTGCCCTTCCATGTTTAGAGCTCAACATTAGTTCATATAAACCCAAACCTTATAAATACTTAATGTTAAGTAATTTACTACTTTCCAGTGGAGGGGAAAAAAATGCAATTTCCAATTTACTGAATGCATTTTTCAGACATAGTTTACCAGTAGAATAGTTTCAGGCAATTCAGCCTTTTTAAATCTCTATCCAACAGAAATTTTCTTATTTATATTGTACTGATAGACATAATAGATGCACTCTGAATTAGGGTGAACATTACTACTTTGTTTATACTACTCATACTAACCTATGAGTAACTGGCTATCAGGGGACTAGGTGAGATCATTCCTTATGCCTCCCATTCAGGGAAAAGGCCATAGTCAAAGGGGCATACGTTGAGTTATGGACATCTAATGCATCATGTTAATTCACCCCCACTCCTCAGTGCTATCCTGTGCTGTACATTAAGATTCAAAACCAGGAGAATGTGTGTTGTGGACAGATTTTAGTTGCGCTGATGCAGTTTTCCTATCTAGCCACACATTTGTCAATTTGTGAACAATGGCACAAATTTATAAAAACAGCTAATGTTAGAGTCATATTCTGTAACCCCAGATTAGATGACAATAAATGTCACTCATAATCTTAATTTTGTTCCTGATCTTTTTGGATTTAGATGGTAGTCCTAAATAAACTTACCTATTTATTAAGATGGAACATTCACATCACACTAATTATATTTAATAATGAACATGTGAAAGGACAATTTATCACGTAGTTTAGTATTCTGCAAAGCGAAATTTCTACTTGACTCATCTAAATCTTGATTTTTCTTAAGACACAGACTCCATCTGTGTCCACTCTATTGGAATAATACTGTTTGCCTAAATTTTCATAATGTCTAGTTTCCTATTAAACAGGTGGCAGGAAATGGAGCCCTCACTGAGATTACCCCATTCATTGATACATGTCTTTTGACGGCAGATGAAAACAGTAGGCATAGACAGAGAAAAGAGGAAAAGTAGTTGCTGAAGGATGGTTTCTGAAGGTGAGTGATGGATGGAGCAGTCAGGTTTTTATCTTAGTTTGGGAGGAGGAGGGAAGAGAGGAAAGAGAAGGTCAGCTAAAAAATAATTTTTTAAAAAAGGAACATACTCATAATTATTTGAGTCAAGCTTAAGGTGAGAAATAAAAGTACAGAGATAATGGAATAGAAAAAGCCCATATTTTTAATAATTAACACTTATTGAACTATTAATTCCCCTTTACAGAGGGGAATCTGAGGCACAGAGGGGTTAGCTTGCCCAAATTTACATTAATCGCTCACAGCAGAGCTTGAATTCTAATCATAGCAAGCTGAGCCACTATTTTAAAATGGGGTATTATTGAAATACAAGAAGTGAGAACAGTAATAGAGAACAGATACAGAGACCAAGGGAATAGCTGGGGGCAAGGGGGAGAAGACTGCGTTTAAGAAAATTACCAATGGTTTAATTATAGTTGTGTTTTATTAACAGAGCACTTTGTATATGTTAGCTCATGTAATGCCGCTATCAATTCTGTGAGGTAGATACTAAACTAGTCCATTTTTCAGACGAGGACACTTTTTAGATGATAAACGACACTTAGTCACTTTGCAATGAGTTACATCTCAACAGCAGGCTCTGGAGAGCAAGACAAAGAAGGCTGAAGGAGACTAGGCAACAGAACGGAACAGGGTAAGGTAAGCAGGATGAAAGTGAGAAATGCAGGAAAAGTTTCCCATTTAGGCCCAGGCTGGTTCCTGCTTTCAAATTTACCCAGCCGACCCGCCAAGGCGTCACAAAGCCCGCCCCTCAGCCACAAGGCCACGCCCCCTTCCCCGGCGCTTCTCGGAGCTCCCAATACTTCCCTCCCACTCTTCGACCCCGCCCACTCGGCCTAGCATCATTTCCTGTGCGCTGGCTGCTAATTGGTCCAGCAATCGGAAGTGAGAGCAGGCGGTGGGGCCGTTGCCGCAGTG